ATAAAAAAGACAAACCGTCCGGTGCGTCTGTACGCCTCCAGAAAGGTAATATCGCTGAAGAGCTTTTGGGAGGCAGCCACCCAAGCGGCAGTGTCGCACATGTATCTGAAAAAGCGGAAAATGGAGAACTTTGCGCGAAATAAAATGCAATTTGGAGAACATTTTCGAAAACTTCACTCAATTATCATTTGTTTGGACTTTATTTGAATTAAAAACGCGAAAAAACGGCGCCGCCGGGACCCAGAAAGCCGCGGCGGAGGTGTACATACACCGCAAACTGTGCATGCAATTAATGCAATTAATGCTTTTCTGCACTTCTACTTTTAATATACTTCTTCACTTTTCTGTCTTTTATAAATCTTCATTTTCAGGAAAATCCAAAAGACAAAAATGGCATTTAAATCAGCCGCGTTCGCCGGCCCGTCACTGAGGTGTATGTACACCTCAGGCCCGCAGGGCTACAGGCAGCTGCAAAAGCGCTTTTCTCGGAAAATAAATATAAATAATATTTAATTGGTGTAAAATGCATATTTTAAAAAGTATAATTGGGCATGCATGCAGCACAAACGCATGCATTTACATACTATTTATTTATTTGTATTTGCACAAATCGATAATATTCAAACATTTTTGCATGCGCCATTCTTAAAAGCTGTAAATTTATTTAAATGCTTTTGCATGCAAAGCGAGATAAGCAAAACTGCTCTAAGTATCCACGCCGGCGTCAAGGTAAAAGCAAACAGCAGCAGCAGCAGCAGCAGCAGCACTACCTGCAGCAGCACTACCTGCAGCAGCACCAGCAGCAGCAGCACATTCAGCAGCACTACCAGCAGCAGCAGCACCATCAGCAGCACTACCAGCAGCAGCAGCAGCGCCATCAGCAGCACTACCAGCAGCAGCAGCAGCAGCTGCTGCTGCTGCTGCTGCTGCTGCTGCAGCAGCAGCAGCAGATGCAGCAAAAAGGGAAGGCTCACCCCCTTTTGACAACATTGCAAATTCGCACAAACCAGTTGTTGGGGGAAAGGCCCCTGAACGCCTGGTGTATGTACACCTCCTGCAGCTCCTTCCGCAGCTCCGAGTCCGTCCGAGTCCCCAGCCAAGCAGCAACTGCTGCTCCCGCGCTGCACCCAGCTATCACCTGCAGCAGCAGCAGCAGCAGCAGCAGCAGCAGTGGCAGCAGCAGCAGCGGAGAGTGGAGTTGCGTCGAGGGCTGTGGGACTCGTACGCATGCAACAGAGGAGCAGAAGCAGCAGGGGCAGCTGCAGCAGCAGCGCGAGGCTGACGGGTTGCGGCAGCAGCAAAGCAAATGATCAGCAGCAGCAGCAGCAGCAGCAGCAGCAGCAGCAACAGCAGCTCACAGACGGCAAAAGGTTTTCTCCTGTTTCATTATTGAAGAGCAGCGCCTCAATTAGGCCGAAGTGGTGAAGTCCCAGCATGGCTCCGCCTGCAGCAGCAGCAAAAGACGCAGCAGCGCAGCACGAGCTGCAGCAGCAGCAGCAGCAGCAGCAACTGTTGCTGCTGCCGCTGCAATGAAGGAGTCCGTCTTTGAACGGCTCAGAGGCAGCACTAGCCGCAGCAGCAACCGGATGGGCAAAAACAACAGCAGCAGCAGCAACAGCTGCAAGTGCAGCAGCAGCAGCAACAACCACCGCGATCGCAGCAGCATTAGCAGCAACAAGAGCTACAACCAACGTAAGTGCAGCAGCGGCAGCAGCAAGCAACAGCAGCAGCAGCAGCAGCACCATCATTAACATCAGCACCAAAAGCAGCAGCACCACCACTATCACCAACAACAGCAGCAGCACCACCACCACCACTACCAGCAGCAGCAGCAGCAGCAGCAGCAGCAGCAGCACCAGCAGCAGCAGCAGCAGCAGCAGCAGCAGCAGCAGCAGCAGCGGACCGCTGAGGACCAAAGCAGTGGTTTTCCACTGGCTTCTGATGTCTTGGACAGTTTGCTGCAGCGCCTGCCGCAGCTGCGGGTCGAGGTGTACGTACACCCCAAGTGCAGCAAGCGCGAGCCGCAGCTCGGAAAGAAATTCTTCAAGTAAGTCTTTTGTTCCAAAGTAAGAACGACTAAATAAAAAGAAATAAAACAATTAAATTAAAATAAATTAAATTAAATTAAATTAAATTAAATTAAATTAAATTAAATTAAATATTTAAAATCCAGTAATTGCATTTGAAAAAGAAAAAGAAAAGAATGTTTCAAAAAGAATTTTTTGCTGAGTCGCCATGCGGCAGAGCTGCACCTTTATTCCATTTTCAATTTAATTTAATTTAATTTGATTTAAGTTAATTTAATTTAATTTAATTTAATTTAATTTAATTTAATTTAATTTAATTTAATTTAATTTAATTTTAGTTTTAGTTTTAACTTTGCTTTTATTTTCATTTGCTTGGTTTTATTTTTGTTTCTTGTTCATGTTCATGTTTGGGGATAACTTTATTTTTGAAATATATTTTAAAAAGATATTTTTATTTTGTAAATAAATAAGACTCTGGATATATTTAATCTATTTATAAATGAATAAATTTTTGTTATAAAAAATATTTAAAAAAATATATATTAAAAACGTATTTTTAGAAATATATATTTTAGAGAATATTTGCATTCTGGAAATATTTTTAATTATAAGTTTGCAAATTAAATACTTTATTTGTTCGTGTTAAGAAAATAAATATTTTATTAAATCACATTTACAAAATAAATACTTTATTTGATTATAACTAAAATAATAAAATACTTTTTTAGATTTTATTTGCAAAATAAATACTCCATTAGAAGCCATTCAGGATAAAAGTTTTTCATTAAATCGCTTTTACAATTAAAAGTATTTAATTAAATTATATTAAAATAAAATCATTTTGTCAAACCACATTTATGATTAAAAGTATTTTATTAAATCACATTTATTATTAAAAGTATTTTATAAAATCAAATCTAAAATAAAATACTTTTTGTTAAATCACATTTAAAAAAAATACTTTTTGTTAAATCACATTTAAAACAAAAACTTTTTTAATTGGACTTGAAGTTTTAAAAAGGATATTTGCATGCATGCATGCATGCATGCATGCATGCATGCTTTTGAATTTCTTGGAAAGTATAAAAAAGAATTTTAATTTACTTTAAAATAAATATATTTTAATTTAATATATTTATTTTTAATCTGTGCAAAACTTCAAACATTTTATTTCATGAAGTCCAAAAACATTACAGAGATGATGATTTAAATGGCAAGAGCCCCTAAACCCTAAACCCTAAACCCTAAACCCTAAACCCTAAACCCTAAACCCTAAACGCTAAACCCTAAACCTTAAACCCCAAACCCTCCGCCCTACCCGGTGAGCGCCAAACCCTAGGCCCTGCATCCCCCCTAAACCCCAAACCCCAAACCCCAAACCCCAAACCCTAAACCCTAAACCCTAAACCCTAAACCCTAAACCCTAGACCGACCTGTAGAGCGCCTCTTTGAGTGCTGCTTGGGCGTGCCCCTGGAGGGCCTCGAGGGTTTCTTGGGCCAGGTCTTTGAATTGTTTTTTTTGTCTTTTTTCTCTCAGTCTTTGGAGAGACATTTTAACTCCAATTGAGTCAAAAAGTTTGCTTTCGGGTTTTCTTTTCCAGGCATTGCGGCCCGTGGCTGCGTCTAGCTGCTGCGCTGCAGCAGCAAAAGCAGCAAACGAGCGGCAGCGCTGCAGCTGCTGCTGCAGCTCGCACAGCGACACGCCGCCGGGGCCCCACACGCCCCGCAGCACCCGCAGCGGCAGCAGCAGCTGCTGCTGCAGCAGCTGCAGCAGCAGCAGCAAGCCCCTCCACGCGTCCCCCGCCCAGCAGCGCGCCACGGCCCCCCAGCTGCGCGTTCCCGCTGCTGCTGCTGCAGCCCCCGCTGCTGCTGCTGCTTCTGCTGCAGCAGCAGCGGGAGCCCCCGCAGAAGACGCAGCAACGGAAGAAGCAGAGGACGGAGAAGCAGCAGCACGAAGACATAAAGTGCTGCTTCGCAGCAGACACAAAAGAAAAGGAGACAAAAGATTGGCAAAGCAAAAAAGAAATGACTGTCTCCTTTGAAGACACGGCCTGCTGCCCACAGCAGCCGCTTCTTCCTGCTGCGGCCGCGGAACTGCTGCTGCTGCTGCTCCAGTGCAGCAGCAACAGCGCGCTGCGCAGCAACTTGCCGCTGCAGCGGCGACAGCCGCAAGTCTTGCTGCACTCGAAAAGCCACTGACAGCAAATCCACGCTGCATGCGTTTGCTGCTGCGTCTGCTGCCAGCGCTGTTGCTGCTGCTGCTGCTGCTGCTACGCTCTGCGCAGTCACGCTCGACGCCGGCGCCCCCACCGGCGCGCTACTCCTGCTGCTGCTGCTGCTGCTGCTGCTGCTGCTGCTGCTGCTGCTGCTGCTGCTGCTGCTGCTGCTGCTGTTCTCCTCCGAGGTCTCCCTGCAGTCCTCGAAGGCCGTGGGGGAACTGCTGCTCCCGCTGCTGCTCCCGCTGCTGCTGCTCCCGCTGCTGCTGCTGCTGCTGCTGTAAGGAGACACTTCCCCTGAACTCAAAAGGGCCCCGCCCGGGTCCTCTGCTGCAGGCGAGAGGCCCTTAGAGGAGGCTTGGCCAGCAGAAGCAGTTTGCTGCTCCCTAGTCAAGGAAGTGCTGCCGCTGCTGCTGCTGCTGCTGCTTTTATTGCTGTTGCTGCTGCTGTTGTTGTTGCTGCTGCTGCTGCTGGGCGTGCTGCAGCTTGCAGCTTCAGCTGCAGTGTTAGGCAAGCCATTTGCCCTGTCTTTGTCAGCTTCTGGCAGCTGCAGCTGCAGAGGAGGCGCAGCAGCAGCAGCTGCTGGAGCAGCAGCAGCAGCTGCTGGAGCAGCAGCAGCAGCTGCTGGAGCAGCAGCAGCTGCTGCTGCTGCGGGCAACCCAGCCGAGTCTTTGCGGTCTCCAGAGGCAGCTGCTGCGTGACCCTTGCGCCGAGCCATTTGCTGCTGCTGCTGCTGCTGCTGCTGCTTCCGTTGTTGCTAGTATTTGTCTGTGTAATGCCTGTGGGGCTGCTGTTGCTGCTCCAGTTGCTGCTTCCGCTGCTGCTGCTGCTGCTGCTGCTGCTGCTGCTTCCGGCGTCGCCTTTGCGGCTGAGGGGACGGCGATGGCAGCGCGGTGGGCAGCAGCATCAGCAGCAGCTGCTGCTGAAGTAGCTCGCGCTGCAGTCTTCCCTGCTGCTGCTGCTGCTGTTGTTGCTGCTGCTGCTGCTGCTGCTGCTTCCCAGATCTACAAACCAGAAGCCCTGCAGGCCTGCTGCCTCTAGAGCGCCCCACAAGCCAAGTATGTGACGTGGGCCCCGTTTGACAGAGTAGAGTTGCTGCCAATGCTGCTGCTGCTGCTGCTGCTGCTGCTGCTGCTCCGGTTGCTCCTGCTGCTGCTGCTGCTGCGGTTTCTGCTGCTGCTGCTGCGGAGGCTGCTGTTGTTGTTGCTGCTGTTGCTGCTGCGGCTGTTGTTGTTGCTGCTGCTTCTGCTGCTGCTGCGGCTACTGCTGCGGCTGCTGCTGCGGCTGCTGCTGCTGCTGCTGCTGCTGCTACTGCTGGCAACGCCGTTCGACCGAAGGGCTTCTTGAGCCGCTCGCTCTGGTGAGTTGTTGAAGCTGTGCTGCAGCAGGTGCAAACGCTTTTGCTGCTGCTGCTGCCGCTGCTGCTGCTGTTGCCTGCTGCTGCTGCTGCTGCCGCCGCTGCTGCTGCTGCTGCTTCCGCAAGGTTGACAACGAACTGCCTACGGTAGTTGTCTTGACAGATCTGCGAGGAGAAAAGACAAAAAAAGAAGCACACTAAAAAAACAGCTGCTGTGGCTCAGCAGCAGCAGCAGCAGCAGCAGCAGCAGCGGCAGCAGCAGCAGCGACCATTCCCGCAGCAGCTGTCGCTGCTGCCGCTGCTACTGCAGGAGCGCTTTTGCTGCTGCTGCTGCTGCGGGCTTTGCAATGCTTTGCCGCTGCTGTCTTCTGCGATGCTCTCACAGGCTTATTTCTCTCCAGGAAGGCAGCAGCAGCAGCAGCAGCTGCTGCTGCTGCTGCTGCAGCAGCAGCAGCAGGAGGGGCCCCTGGTGTCTGGCGTTCGGCCGTGGACAGTGTAGTCGGCGCCCGGGGGTCTGGCGGCAGCAGAGCGGTGAAAACGAAAACAAAAGAAGTAAAATCTCATTTAAACTTTTATTTTGAATTAATTTGATGAAATTAAATGCAAATAATATAATTTAAATAAATACCAGCTTCAAATCAAGGCCAGGGGGGCCGGAGGCGCGCGGGCGGCGAGTGGCGGCGCCGGCGGCGACACCTTGAGGTGTACGTACACCGGGCGGTTTGAAGCCGTTTTTCTTTGAATTTTTAATTTAAAAAAAACAAATAAACTTTATTTCCAAAGACGGAGTTCTGGAGAGGGTTAAATCCAGTGTTTTGCTGCGGTGTACGTCCGCCGTGGCTCGCTGCGACCGCTGCCCGCTCTGCCTTCTTTCCCTCTTTGTCTTTCCGCTTTCCCCGAAATAATACCATTTCCTTCCATTTTCTTTTCATTTTCTCCCTGCTGCTGCTGCTGCGGCCCCGCAGCTCCCCAGTGCACCTTCTGCTGCTGCTGCTGCTGCTGCTTTCTCCCCTTTGCCCCCCTACAGCTGCAGCAGAAGCTCCTTTTCTCCCCAAAAGGGGCCTCAGGGGGCCCCCAGAGACCATGAAGACCCGGGGGCCCCCAGGATGACGGCCACGTTGAAAGGGTCTTCTCCCGGGGGCCCCCAAGGGGGCCCCGGGGGGCCCCCGGGGCCTCGGGGGCCCCCTGCGCCCATTGGGGCCCCCGGAGTCCCTTCTTTGAGGCCCCTTGGAAACAGTCTGAAGAGAGAGGGGCCCCCAGAGTATGGGGGCCCCCACCCCTTGGCAGGGGGGGACCTAAGGGGCCCCCGGGGGCCCCGGGGGCCCCGGGAGCCTCGGGGGCCCCCCCCTAGACATGAGGGCCAGCGCAGCCTGCAGCAAACTGGCCAGGGGGCCCCCAGCTCTGCGGGCCTTGCAGGGTTGGGGCCCCCAGGGCCTCTTGAGGCGGGCTGGCTGGGGGGCCCCCCCGCGGGCGCCTCTGGGGGCTCTCCAGAGGGGCCCCCAGGGGCCCCTGGAGGGATTTATCAGAGCCATGGGGGGCCCCTTGAGGGTCCTGGGGGGCCCCTAGGGCACCAGGGGGGCCCCCTGTTTCACAGCCCCGCCAGGGGGCCCCCTGAAGGCCCACCCACAGCTACTGAGAAGTCCCGAAGGGGCCCCGTAAGCTCTTCCTCTAGAGGCCCCCAGGGGGGCCCCCATGGGGGCCCCCATGGGGGCCTCCATGGAGGCCCCCCGGGGGGCCCCCAGGGGGGCCCGCATGGGGGCCTCCATGGGGGCCCCCCGGGGGGCCCCCAGGGGGGCCCCCACGGGGAAGGTTTTGTTTTGGGAGAGGAGGAAATGCTGCAGCTAACTGTGAAGCAAATGTTGCTGCTGCTGCCAGCTGCAACAGCAGCAGCAGTACACGAATCTCTGAAGCGTTTGCTGCTGCTTCCAGAGCCCCGAGCAGCAGCTGCAGCGGCCCTCGAAAGGTCCTGCTGCTGCTGCTGCTGCTGCTGCAGCAGCAACAACAGCAGCAGCAAAGGGGCTGAACAGCAGCTCCGCGGCGCAGCTGCGCCCCACACAGAGCTTCTGTGGCAGCAACACCAGGGGCCCCAGGGGCCCCAGGGGCCCCAGGGGCCCCCAGGGCCCCCGGGGGCCCCGGGGGCCCCCGAGGGGCCCCCAAACCCTCACAGCCTCCGCTGTCTCCAGGGGCCCCCCAGGCTTCAGCAGCAGCAGGGGCCCCAGCAGGCCCAGGGCCTCGAGGAGCAGCAAACTCTCCAAGGCCCCAAAGGTCCATGGGGGCCCAAGGTCCATGGGGGCCCAGTTTGAGAAGGGGCCCCAAGGGCCCCCCGGACCCTCTTTTGCCCAGGGGCCTCAGGGGCCCCACTCTGCGCAGGGGCCCCAGGGGACCCAATTACTTCAGGGGCCCCGGGGGCCCCTGGAGCTCCAGGGGCCCCGGGGCCCCCTGGGGTCCCAGGGGCCTCAGGGGCCCCCAATAGCACAGTCCGGGGGCCCCCCCTTAGGGCGGGGGCCCCAGCCGCGGCCAAGGCTTTGTGGCCCGAAAAGGGTCCTGGGGGCTGAGGGGCCCCAGGAGGCCCAAAAGGCCCACAGCCCTGAAGCTTATAAAGCCTCTCAGGGGCCCCCAAGTGGGCCCCAGGGGCCCCCAAGTGGGCCCCAGGGGCCCCCAAGTGGGCCCCAGGGGCCCCCAAGTGTACCCCAGGGGCCCCCAAATGTGGGCCCTAGCCCGCAGCAGGTCTCGCCAGCTGGAGGCCCCCAAGAGGGGCCCCCTGCTGCTGCTTGCTGCAGTGAAAATGGCCCCGAAATGGGTGCTGCGTCGATAGCCCATCAGCTGGGGGCCCCCCATAGGGGCCCCCACTATGGGGGCCCCCAAGGGGCCCCCCGGGGGGCCCCCAGAGGGGCCCCTCTGGGGCCTGCTGATGGCTGGCAGGTATTTCAGGGGCCACTGCAGCAACAGGGACACAGGGGGCCCCACCCTCGTGAAGCCGAGCAGCAGAAATGCGAGCAAGTTGCCCCGCAGCAGCAGCAGCAGCAGCAGCAGCAGCAGCAGCAAGGACGCCTGCCTCTAGAGGTGCAGCAGCAAAAGAAGGAGGAACAGCAGCAACAGCAGCAACAGCAGCAACAGCAGCAACAGCAGCTACAGCAGCTACAGCAGCTACAGCAACATCAGCAGCAGCAGCAGACGCAGAAGCAAGAGCAGCAACCGCAGCAAGAGCAGCAGCAGGAGCAGCAGCAGCAGCAAACAGTGCTGCTTAGCTCTCTTCCAAAAGAGCCTCAGCTGCTGCAGCCACAAAGGGCCCCTCTACCCCCGAGGCCCCGACCAGCAGACCCGGGGGCCCCCGGGGGGCCCCCCATGCAGAGGGACACAACTGCTGCAAGCAGCAGTTGGGTTTCTGAGGAAGAGTCACTGCAGCAGCAGTTGCAGCAGCAGCAGCTGCTGCAGAAACACTTGCTGCAGCAGCAACTGCAGGAGCAGCAACCGCTGCAACACCAGCAGCCACTGCAGCAGCAGCAGTTGCTGCAGCAGCAACTGCAGGAGCAGCAACCGCTGCAACACCAGCAGCCACTGCAGCAGCAGCAGTTGCAGCAGCAGCAGCTGCTGCAACCGCAAAAGCTGCAACAGCAGCTGCAGGAGCAGCAACAGCTGCAGCAGCAGCGACTGCAGCAGCAGAGACTGCTGCAGCTGCTACAGCAGGAGCAGCTGCAGCAACATTTTCAGCAGCTGCAGCTGGGCTCTCGAGAGCAGGCTCTGTGGGTGCCACGTGAAGCAGCAGCAGCAGCAGCAGCAGCAGCAACAGCAGCAGCAACAGACGAAACAGTCTCCAGCGAAGATGCTGCTGGTACAAATCGAAGCAGCAGCACCGAAGATGAAGGAAGATCTTCAGCCACTGCGCTGCAGACAGCAGCGCAGAAGCAGCGGCAGCAGTGGCAGCAGCAGCAGCGGTGGCAGCAGCAGCAGCAGCAGCAGTGGCAGCAGCAGCAACAGCAGCAGCAGCAGCAGCAGCAGCAGCTATTTAGGAGCGTTGCTGAGGATGAAAGATACTTCGTGTCTCCTTGTGAGACTGCTGGGGGCCCCAGCAGCCCCGAGGGGCCCCAACTGGGGGGCCCCCAGAAGAGCTGCGCTGCAGCTGTGCTGCAGGGGCCCCCGCAGCAGCAGCCATCCACGACGGTGCAGCAGCAGCAGCAACAGCAGCAGCAAGAGGAGGAGCCTTACAAAGCGAAGCTGCGTTCTTATGAAAGTGAGCCGGAGCATCCACACTGGTGCGGCAGCAGCAGCAGCAGCAGCAGCAGCAGCAGCAGCAGCAGCAGCAGCAGCAACAGCAGCGCGCGCAACTCGCTGTCGCTGCCACCGCAGGAGCAGCAAATCGTGCCGACGATAGCCAAGATGCTGCAGCAGCGGGGCATTCTTAGAGAGGCCCCTTGGGTGTCCTCTTCCTTTCCAGCTGCTGCAGCAGCAAGCACCAGCCTATACAGCAGCAGCAGCAGCAGCAGCGGCAGCAGCGGCAGCAGCAGCAGGATGAGTCTGTCTACAGACTTGGGGCCTGGGTCTCAGGAGTTCTGCAGCATCGACGACGAGAACGCCCTGGGCTTCTCTCTGAATGATAAGGGGCCCCCAGCAGCAGCAGCAGCAGCAGCAGCAGCAGCAGCAGCAGCAGCAGCAGGGTCTCAGGGGGCCCCCGGGGGGGCCCCCACGGCAAGGGGCCCCTCAAGGTTCCTGCGGCGGCGCCCAGAAAGAGTTGTGCTGCAGCGCAGCAGCAAAGCAGAACTTCCGGACTTCTCTTACGTAACAAGTGTCGTAAGGAAAGAGTGCTGGCGACGGGCTAAAACGCAGCAGCAGCAGCAGCAGCAGCAGCAGCAGCAGCAGCAGCAGCAGCAGCAGCAGCAGGGGAAGCCGTGCACGCAGCGACACAATATGGAGCAGCAAACGCAACGCCAAGTACGGCCACAGCAGCAGATGCAGCAAGCCAAACGGCAGCAGCCGCAACAGCAACAGCAGCAGCAGCAAAGGCTGCAGCAGCAAAAGCCGCAGCAGCAAAAGCCGCAGCAGCAACAGGAGCAGCAGCAGCAGCAACCGCAAGAACAACAGAACCACTATCAAGAGCAGCAGCAGCAAATGCAGGAACAACAAAAGCAGCAGCAGCAGCAGCAGCAGCAGCAGCAGCAGCAGCAGATTCCAGCCAGGGCGGCGCTAATGCGGGCGCAAGCCGCACGGCTACTGTACGGGAAAGGCCCCCAAACCCAAACCCTAAACCCTAAACCCTAAACCCTAAACCCTAAACCCTAAATTTTGATTTGTAGGCGCTAGCTTGGTTTGTGTGTATCAAAAGGTGCTTTCCGCCTGCTGCTGCTGCTGCTGCTGCTGGAACTGTGGCTGCTGCTGCTGTGCTTGCTGTTGTTCTGTCTGCTGCTGCTGCAGCGCTGGGAGTCAGCAGCAGCTGCAGCAGCGCGTCGCCGAGAGGCTCAGGGGCGGCTCCTTGCTGCAGCAGCAAGAAGCGAACAGGAGGGCCATCGTTGCTGCTGCTGCTGCTCCTGCTGCTGCTGCTGCTGCTGCTGAGGCCCGGGCGCCTCCCCAAGACCCCATACACCCCAGCTCTGGCGCTGCAGACAAGGAACAACAGCCACAGCAGCAGCAGCAGCAGCAGCAGCAGCAGCAGCAGCAGCAGCAGCAGCAGCAGCAGCAGCAAATTGTGCTGCTGCAGCATGACATTATAGAAGAAGTAGCCCCTCCTTGCAGCTATTTGCCCTATTTGCCGCGCGGCCGTCGCCTCCTGACTGCCCCAGACGGGAGCCCCTCCGAGGGCCCCTTGGGGGCCCCCAAGGGGGCCCCCCAGGGGCCCCCCCAGGGGCCCCTCACGGGGCCCCCCCAGGGGGGCCCCCAGGGGTTTCCGCTGGAGGCGCCTACAGAGGGGCCCCCAGGGGCCCCTAAAGGGGCTCAGCTCTGCTGCCTAGGCCCTTGTGGGGGCCCCCCAGAGGGCCCCTTCCCAGAAACCCTAGAAGACCTCTGCGGGGGCCCCCGTGGCAGCAGCTGGGAGGGCCAGTGCAGCCCTCGCGGGGGGCCCCCTGGGGGCCCCTCTGGGAACTTCGCTAGGGGCCCCTCTATGGGCACCAATGGGGGAGTCACGGGGGCCCCCAACAAGGCCGGTAGGGGCCCCTATGGGGGCCCCAATGAAGACCACAGTGGGGGCCCCCATGGAGACCCCAGTGGGGGCCCCAGTGAGGGCCCCAGCGAGGGTTACGCTACGGGCCCCCCTGGGGGCCCCTCTGGGGGCCCCTCAGGGTGCCCCTCTGGGGGCCCCTCGGGGGGCCCCTCGGGGGGCCCCTCGGGGGGCCCCCCTGGGGCCCCTAGTGAGGGCCCCCGTTCTGATAGTGGGCGAAAGGGGTTTTCGCTGGCGGGCTTCAGCGCTTTGGCGATTTTGAGGGCTGCCAACAAAATGAAAGATATGAATAGAAAGAAGCAAAAGAGCTGCAGCAGTTCTTGTCCTGCGCAGGCACAAACAGAGTGTTAGTTTAGGGTTTAGGGTTTAGGGTTTAGGGTTTAGGGTTTGTGGATTTGGAGCTCGCGGCCGGAGCCTAGGGCCCCAAAGGCGCGCTGCAGCGAGGCAGTGTGGCACTTGAGGCCTAGGGTTTAGGGTTTAGGGTTTAGGGTTTGGGGCTTGCTGCTGCGCAGGGACAGATGAGGATGAAGAAGAAATATCTGGGGCGGAGGGCCTGCGCCAGTCGTACCAGGTGAGGCCTAGGGTTTAGGGTTTAGGGTTTGGGGCTCGGAACTGGAGTCTCCGGCCTAGGGTTTAGGGTTTAGGGTTTAGGGTTTTAGGGTCAGCAGTCAGGTCTGCGCCTGCGGTTCGCTGCATGCAGGAGTGCCCAGGGTAGAAAGCCCCGATCCGAAGGCGTCAATAAGCATGCATGCATGCATGCATGCATGCATGCATGCATGCATGCATGCATGTTTGCATGCATGCACACATGTATGCATGCACGCGTTTTTTAATTACAGGCGGCGGAACGCAACGGCTTTGCATGAGTGCAGCACGCGCATGCATGTATGCACTTGTTGCATGCATGCATGCATGCATGCGTTGCATGCATGCACTTGCTGCATGCATGCATGCACGCAACTTGCATGCGTTTGGGACTGGGGCTGTGCCGTTTTGGGAGTGTTTAGCTGCGGGTTCCCCTGAGTGATGTGGGGCTTTTTGGGGCTTTAAATAAAAGTAATTGTTTTATTGTCTTTAATAAATTGTTGCAGTTTTGTCCCCTGGCCCCGTAAGGCCGAGGGTTTACGGCGAAGAGCCTGGGCCTAGGGTTTGGCGCCCAAGGCCTAGGGTTTAGGGTTTAGGGTTTAGGGTTTACAGCTCGAGAAACTTTGCATTTGTTCCACTAAATGTCTTGGGGCCCTTCTATCCCCAACAGTTCGAAACTTTTCTCAAAAATTTGCTGCACTGCGCGGCACAGCAGCAGCCGCTCCGGGTGTACGTACACCTCACCAGCAGCAGGCTCCTCTCCCCCTCCTGATGGCCCTGCCCTGCGCAGGAAACCCTCTTCCCGCTGCTGCTGCTGCTGCTGCTGCTCCTGTTGCTGCTGCTCCTGCTGCTGCTGGCGTTGCTGCGCGGATGCGCTGCTGCTGCTGCTGTTGCTGCTGCTGCTGTTGCTGCTGCAGCCGCTGCTGCGGCAAATGATGTGCGAAGTTTCGTAAAAACGATTAAAAGTGCGGGCGAGGTCCAGCAAATAAGAAACGAGCACTGAGGGGTCGAGCGACGCTGCGCTGCGGTGTACGTACACCCCAAAACTCGCAGCCTTCGCCGCCAACCGCCGGCCCAACTCCGGCAGCAGGGGGGCCCCCTGGGGGCTGTTTGGGTTGGGGGCCCCCTGGGGGCCCCCTGGTGGCGCAGCAGTTTGTCTGAGGCCCTCTGCAAGCCGCAGCACACACGAGTGGGGCTCCGGGGTGCAGCAGCTGCTGCAGCAGCAGCTGCGGCAGCAGTAACAGCTGCTGCAGCAGCAGTTGCTGCTACAGCATCAGCAACAGCTGCAGCAGCAGCAAAAGCAACTGCAGCAAACTTTAATCAAAAAGTTAAACAAAAATCCCAGAAGCAGTAGCGCATGCACTGCAAACGATTTGTGACCATTTATTACTATTTATGTTATTTTATTTTCGTTTTCGAAGATTAATATTTTTATAAAATCAAATGGAATTAAAACATCCACCTCGTGTAGCACAGAGAGAAACAAACCGAAAAAGTAATATTATATTATTTCATTTTATAAATAATATAACATATTATTATATTGTCTTACTTCATAAATACAAAAATATGCTATTATTTTACTTTATGAATAAAACATCATTATTTTATTTTATAACTAGAATAATATTATTTTATTTCATAAGTAAAGTAATGGTATTTTATTTCACAAATAAAATATTATTATACTATTCCACCTTATAAACAAAATAATCTAATAAAATAAACAAAATAATCTAATAAAATAAAAGACAAAAAGACAAAAAGGAAAAAAACAATACCTGCACTGCAGCAAACTCGCCGCGCGCGGGCCCGGCCATACAAAAGAGGAAAAGCTGCTGCAGCAGCGCAGCCTGGCTTTTGCGGAACTCGAAATTCGGCAGAGACAGAATGGCCCAGCACCCACAGGCGCGCCGTCGCTGCAGCTGCAGCAGCAGCAGCAGCAGCAGCAGCAGCAGCAGCAGCAGCAGCGCAGAAGCAGCAGCGGCGGCAGCAGCAGCAGCGCCGCACACGCACAGCTGGATGGTGGCAGGCTCCAACGAAGCCACGACAGCAGCAACAGGGATTATCGCCGAAAACAGCAACAGCAGCAGCAGCAGCAGCAGCAGCAGCAGCAGCAGCAGCAGCAGCAGCAGCGAAAACTGCAGGAGCAGCAGCAGCTCACTAATAAGTTCAGCTTTTTCTTTGAGTTGGGCCCCATAGAGGTCTGGGCGCCTTCGCTTCAACTCGCACTCTGCAGACATGCGAATTCCAAACCCTAAACCCTAGCCCCTAAACCCTAGCTGCCAAACCCTAAACCCTAATCCCCCAGCCCTAAACCCGAGACCCACCTGTAGCCTCGAGTGCTGCTGCCATAAACTGCTGCAGACCTCCTGCTGCTGCTCTTGATGCAAGTTTGCTGCCGCTGGGGCTCTTCACAAGCCCCACACCCAAGTGCTGTACGTACACCTCACGCCGCTGCTGCTGCTGCTGCTGCTGCTGCTGCTGCTGCTGCTGCTGTTTATGCTGCTGTTCTCGCCGCTGCTGCTGCAGCTGCTGCCCATGCAGATGCCGCTCTTGCTCTTGCTGCTGCTGCTGCTGCTGCCGCTGCTGCTGCTCTTGCTGCTGCCGCTGCTGCTGCTGCTGCTGCTGCTGCATGCACTGCATAAGGGGGTTGGTTTGCTGCGCTACAATGACGAGGGTTTTGTCATTTATTATTTCCCTTCCCAGCAGAAACAATCGCCGAAAATGAGAAGCTTGCTGCTCGTCCGTTATCAGCAGCACCCAGTCGGCTCCGCTATCCACTCTGCCCGCAAACCCTAAACCCTAAACCCTAAACCCTAAACCCTAAACCCTAAACCCTAGGCCCTGAACCCTTGACCTTACACTTCCACTTTGGAAGCAGCACAAAGGATATTCGCTGCAAGAGCCTCACCCAACTCCTCGCTGGCTAGGGTTTAGGGCTTGGGGTTTAGGGTTTAGGGCTTTTCTGCATCAGGGGAGGGGCAGAGAGAGAGCGAAACAGCAGTTTAGGGTTTAGGGTTTAGGGTTTAGGGTTTACCGAGACTTGAGGGTGGCGAGGTCAGTAGCGATGTACGTGTACGTGCCCCCTTGGCGTCGAAGAGCAACTGTGGCGTTTTCTCGCTGCTGCTGATGCTGCTGCGACTGCTGCTGCTGCTCCTGTGGCTGCTGCTGCTGCTGCTGCTGCTGCTGCTGCTGCTGCTGCTGCTGTGGCTTCAGTTGTTGTCGCTGCTGCACTGACAGGCATGTGCGGCTAGGCACTGTCTGCAGCTGAGGAAGTCGGGCATTTAGGGGGCTCGTACTACTACTGCTGCTGCTGCTGCTATTGCTGCTGCCTATGCTGCTGCTGCTGCTGCTGCTGTCAACTGGCAGCAACAGACCCCGTGCTGCTAGTAAGTCAATAAGTTGCTGCATGCGCGGCAGCTGCTGCAGCTCGCCTTCTGCTGCTTGTGGAGACAAGCGAAGGAGGCGCAGTTGCTGCGCAAAGCGCTGCAAGCACACAGCAGCAGCAGCAGCAGCAGCAGCAGCAGCAGCAGCAGCAAACGCGGCGCGATTCAACCAGCAGCTGCGGGCTTTTTTGGTGGGAACAAAGGAGAAAGACGCAGCAGCAAACAGATAAGAGGCAGCAGATGCAGCAGCTCACCCGGACTGAAAACTGGTGAATTGCCTTAAGTGTTTTTGCTGCTGCTGGCGAGCCAAAGACTGCTGCAGCCAGCGACGCCAGGCAAGCAGCAGCAAAAGTGCTGCTGCTGCAGTAGACTTCCCTGCAGCTCTGAGCTCATACGCATGCAAACGACCCCCCTGCTGCTGCTGCTGCTGCTGCTGCTGCTGACTCTAAACAAACTCCAGCAGCAGCAGCAGCGACTGCCGCTGCAGCAAGAGCCTGTGCCGGCGCTGCTGTTGTGGCTGTGCGTTCTGTCATGAGTAATGCTGCTGCTGCTGCTGCTGCTGCTGCTGCTGCTGCACACCCACCACGTAAGCTGCCGTAAGGTCCACTTGGTCTCCTGCCGCCTTTTCCTTAGCCAGTGCCTGCCAGTCAAGAACAGCATCTGTTGCTGCTGCTGCATCTGCTGCTGCAGCTGCTGCTGCAGCTGCGCTGCTGTTTCGCTGCTGCAGTTGCTGCTGCTGTTGCTTCAGCGCCCTGTCAAAAGAAGCCATATGCGAAAGGAAGGCTTCTGCAGCGGCATCGGTTAAACTTCCTAGGTCTGCTGCTGCTGCTGGTGCCGCTGCATCTGCTGCTGCTGCTGCTGCTGCATTTGCTGCAGCGCTTGCTGCTGCTCGCCTCGTTAGGGGCGCCGGCCTCCACTTGGCCGGGGTAGCGGCAACAACAGCTGCTGCTGCTGCTTCCACCATTGCAGCAGGCGACATCCGGCTTCCGGCTCCTTCTTTGCTGCTGCTGCTGCTGCTGCTGCTGCTGCTGCTGCTGCTGCTGCTGCTGAGGTGCTGCAGCTGCCTGTACACTTGAAGGCCCCCAAGACAAACAGCAACGGGAATGCCGCAGTCTCCGAAGTAGCAGCTGCGGCGGACTCTCAAGCCGAAAAATTCTAGCAGCCTGAGCGCATGCAGAGCAGCAGCAAAGAGCTGTCAGGAGCTGCAGCAGCAACAGCAGCAGCAGCAAGAACAACAGCAGCAACGACCCCCAAAAAGTAGCCGAGGGCTCGAAGGGATCTGGGCTCTAAAAGCTGCGTACGCCTCAGGTGTATGCATGCTTCAGGTGTACATACACCTCAGGTGTACATACATCTCAGGTGTACATACACCTCAGGTGTACATACACCTGAGATGTATATACACCTCAGGTGTACATACACCTCGGTGCTGGCAAAAAGAAACGGCCCAGTTTTAGAGAAGTCAAGCAGGAAGCAAAAAGCAGCAGCAGTTGCAGTGCAGCAAAAAAAAATTGTTTTTATTAAATTGAAAGTATTATACAATTAAATGTAAAAAAAGAAACGGCATTTAGTGATTTTATAAACATAAAAGGATAATAATTTTTCTTTTATATTTACAGTTTTATTTTAAAAGCTATACAAAATGAAAATTCAAAGGCAGCAGCAGCAGCGAGGCAGACGCTCGAGACACCAGCGACTAGGGCCTAGGGCTTAGGGTTTAGGGTTTAGGGTTTAGGGTTTAGGGTTTAGACCTTGCTAGGCAGTCCCCGACCAGCGCCCCTCTGAGGTGCCCCACGTGAAGGTCTTTTGCCAAATTCGGCGAGAAATAGTCCAAGTGCAAACGCATGCAACAAAGCCCCAAAGTCTGAGACAAAACGCATGCAACAAAGCCCCAAAGCCTGAAACAAAACGCATGCAACAAAGCCCCAAAAGCCAGGCAAAACGCATGCAGTGAAACCTCAACTGTGACAAGAAATGCGTGCGGGCGCAGCCCCACAGAATCAGCAGCAAATTCCGCCAGGCAAGCAGCAGCAGCAGCAGCAGCGAAAAGAGCAGCAACAGCAGCAGCAGCAGCAGCAGAAGTCGCAGCAGCAGCAGTAAAGGTTACTGGTTTCACGCCCAGGCGGTCC